CAGTCTTCGGTCTTTAGTGTCTAATGTATCAATCTGTTCATCAGATGATCTCTAAATTCAGGTGGGGTATGTTCAAGGTCATATTTTGGTTCTTGTTGACTTGTTTTCATTTTCTTCAGCTTCAGCCTGAACTTGCATATGAGCAATTGATGATCTGATCCACAGTCTGCCCCTGGCCTTGTTTTGGATAGATTCTTGCAACAGATATAGTTAATTTGATTTCTCTGTATTCCTCCTGGTGAGTTCCATGTGTATAGTTGTCTTTTATGTAGGTTTAAAAGGTATTTGCCATGAAGAAGTCAGTAATCTTTCAAATTCTATCATGCTATCTCCAGCATCCTTTCTATCACCAAGGCCATATTTTCCAACTACTAATCCTTCCTCTTTGTTTCCAGCCTTTGCATTCCAATCTCCAGTAATTATCAATACATCTTCAATTTCATCATTATTGGTCTTAGTGGTTGGTGTGTAGATTTGAATAGTAGTATTTAACTTGTCTTCCTTGTAGGCATATGGACATTATCCTATTACAGACAGTGTTGTATGTCAAGACAGATCTTGATAATCTCTTTTTGATGAGGAATGCAATGCCATTCCTCTTCAATTTGTCATTCCTGCATAGTAAACCATGTGATTGTTAGATTCAAAATGGCCAATACCAGTCCATTTTAGCTCAATAATGCCTAGGATATCACCAGTTACTCCTCGGAAACCTTATACAGGGTCGCTATGGGTAGGAACCGATTGATAACACTTAACAACAGCAACAATCTCCTATTGAATGTGGACGGGACCTTTGTCTTGCTCCTAACCAACAACAGATAATTGCATAGGCACTGGGATATCATTTAAGGAATGAGGTTGCATACAAAGGTGACACCTGTCCTGCTAGTCCACTCTCTCTGTTGTTTCTTTGGTTTGCAGGCGATGATGAAGCCATGCTTTTGAGGCAGGAAGGCAAGGAACAGAGGGTAGCCCTGACCAACTGCCAGTGGGGAAAAGAAGCCCTCAGTCCAACTGCCTTTTAGAAGCAGAATCCGTTTATTAACTGTGAATGAGCTTAGAATAGGATCTTTCCCCAGTTAAATCTTGAGATGAAACCACAGCCCAGCCAACATCTGGATTGCAATTGGTGAGAGAGCTTGAAGCAGAGGATTCAGTTAACCTGTGGGAGGTTCCTGGCCCACAAACCTGGTGAGAGAAACAAGTGTATTGTAGTCAGATGCTAACATTTAGAGTAATTTATTATACAGGAACAGATATCTGGAGTCCCTGGGTGGTGTAAATAGTTAAGTGCCCCACTGCTAACTGAAAGTTTGTCAGTTCAAACCCACCCCACCCAGATGAAACTTGGAAGAAAGGCCTTAAAAGATCCTTAAAAATCCTATGCAGTACAATTCTAGTCTGCACACTTGGGGTTGCTGTACGTTGGCGCTGATTCTGCTGCAATGAACACAGCAGTAACAGATAATGCGAGTGTCCTGCTATCTTTATTTACTTGTGTTTTTCTCAGTGAACTGTTTCAGGTCATTGAGTCCTTGCCTTCCGGGTTAGCTGTTTGTCCAGTAGAGAATTACCTGCTGAGAGCCATCTTATTGTGGGTGTCTAGTTTCCAGAGAAGTCGTCTGTGACTTCGTCAATTTCCATCTTTGAGTCTGCCGCTAGAACCTCCAAGGCTCCCTGAAGCCTGGAATTCCAGTGAAGGCATGAATGCAGAAATTCTAATTCATAAATGGGGATGCGAACTGCCTGAAAAATTGGAAGCTATGTGATAAAATCTTTTCCAGAGATACTGATACACAAGCATTTAGTAGGACATCACCAATTCACTTCATCTGGAAACAGAGGTATTACTAGGGTGGGTACCAACCAGCAGTAACTAACTCATGGTGCTTCTCTGTGGATGGGTCCAGCCAGGAAACCACCCCCACCTTTACCCGCCTTTGGGGACGGATCCAGCCCTGCCCAGCGCCGGACTCCTCCTCACTCTCAGGGGCCCGGTGAGACCTCCTCTCCCTCTAATGGAGGACACTGCGCTCCATTCACCTGCCCCTGATTGACAGGTGATGGGGGTAGAGAGGGAAAAGGGTGTTTGAAGACTTACTGCACAGGGTGCTGGGTGTCTTGGTGGCCCCTCCCCCTGAGGCACCAGCCCTAAGACGACGCCATCTTTGCGGACCCTGGGGTCATTCGGGTCCCTTTGACAGTGTTGGAATTGTGGTCGGCACACCTCTAGTAACTGAAAGTATCACTTTCCCAATCTGTATAATGGGAATTCACCTCTAAATCGAACGGTCTCTGATTCTTAGTCTGACACAATCTGGGATGTTGCGAATTTAGCCCTGTGGGCTTTAAATCAATTTACACATGGACGATGGAGTTAATGCGCTGGACAGCAAAGTCCGCTTGGACTGCAAGGTCAGTGGTTCGGGCTCACCAGCCGCTCCTTGGAAACCCTGTACAGGGTCGCAATGGATTGGAACTGACTCGACGGCACTTAACAACCATAACAACAACATTAGAGAGCTGCGGATTAATGCTCTGGACTGCTACTCGGTTTGAACCACAAAGTCGGTGGTTCAAACTCACCAGCCTCTCCTTGGAAAACCCATACAGGGTCGCTATGGGTCAGAACTGACTCGACGCAATAACAAACCCGATGTGAGTGGCACTGCACTTAACAACAACAACAACAACAACAAATGGGGTTGTAGGATTCCATGTGATAATAAAACACGTGATATGTTCAGCAAGGAGCCGGCACAAAAGTGAGCCTGCCCTTCACTGCCTCTCCAGAGGTCCCCAGACCCTGGGGATCTGGGCCGCTGGCGGCAGGTGGGGGGCGCATCTCAGCCCGGAGCCCGGTCGCCCGCCCCGCCCACGTGGGGCCGCGGCCCGTCGAATGACTCTGTGCAACGTGTTGGTGGCGGCTGCGGCGCGGGCTCTTCCGGGCGCCACAGCTTCCTGCCAGGCACCGCGCAGCCGCCGCCGCCGCCGCGGGAGCCCCGAGTGCAGCCTGGGCGCGGGTGCGGGACCCAGGCTAGGCCGCGCGCGCCCGCCCGAACCCACGCAAGGAGACCGCACGATGCGCACCGCGCCGCCGCCCTCGCCGCTCCGGCCGCTGCTTCTGCTGCTGCTGCTAGCGCTCCAGTCTGCGCCGGGTCCCCGCGTCTGCAGAGCTGAGTCCGCCGCGGCGCTGCCGCCCGAGTCGGAGCGCCCGGGGCCCGGGAACGCTACTCAGACGGGGCCCGGAGCGGCGGCGGGCGGCCGAAGCAGCTCCAACAGCAGTGGCGAGGCCCTGGTGACCCGCATCTCCAGCCTGCTCCGCGATCTGCCCACCCTAAAGGCAGCTGTCATCGTGGCGTGCACCTTCACCGCCCTGCTAATCGTCTGCTTGCTGCTGCGAGTCTTCAGGTGAGTTCTCTGCTCTGTCTCTCCCCTCCGGGTCAGAGCTCGCGGCCTCGTCAACCTGTTGTCACCGCGCGCCCGTCCCACCTGCACGCACAGGTGCTCTGGATGCGCAACTTCTCTTCAGCCAGAGCAGGGCGTCTTGGGGTGCCCCAGCCAGCAGGGAGGGTGGGGGCGCGGAGTGCACTCATTTGTTTGTCCCTTGATACACAGTTTAGGAATTTTCTCCACATTCCTTAAAGATGGATCTCATAAGTGTCGAAATGTTGCGTACCATTTATTAATTTTCTGCTGATGCTTGACACTAACATAGTTCTCCCAGTTCTGACAACCTAACACAGCATTGGTTTATATGCCCATTTCACAGATGAGAAAACAGTTCCCAGAGAGGTCTGGTGGCTTAGTTAACGAAACTCAGGTGGTGGAGCTGAGATTCGAACCCGGATCTGCCTAACTTTAATCTTACCCTTCCACTCTCTAACATCGGTGGCTGCCTCTCACCTCCGCCTTCCTTGTTTCTTTTCCTCTGAACTGCTATGAAAAGAAACTCTTCCTAATGCTGGGGGCTGAAACTGGACTCTGGATGGTTGGTGGGAGGGGGTGGTGTGGGTGTAAGGGGGAGAGATGAACACACAGAGGACGCTCTTGTGTCCATGCCTGACTGGGCTTCCCCAGTGTAGACCTACAGGAGGGTGAAGTATTTTGGACAAAAACTGGTCAGCCCACATCGAGGCTTTGGAAAGTTGTTTAAGTTCTGGGTCCCTGTGGAGAGTGCGTCTGGAATTAGGGAGATGACTTGAGTCCCTGGAATAGAGGGGCCGAGGGAAGCACAGGAGGCCCTTTCCTGTCAGGAGGACTTTTCTCCCCAATGTCTGAGAAATCTTGTTTGTGCAGGACATGAACCATATGGGTTCTGTTAGTCCAGGCAGTTGCAGGGCAATCTGGGTGTGTGCGTCAATTCTTCTAAGCACATTCCCTCCCCTTCCGAGTGTGTACACTGTGCTTGGCTGTTTGATCAGCTGTTGCAGGTGTGGGGCTGGAGGCTTACTCTCCTGAAGAAGCAGAAACCAGACCTGGGAAAGAGAGAGTTGTGAGGTTGGCTGGCGTGATGTGGAACCAAGATAGTCCCCTCTGGGTCCACTGGATCAAATGCCATTGCTTGTAAGAAAGCTGAGAGAGGGCTGTGATGCATATTCACCCCATCATCCCGGTCTGGATCACCCTGACGCTCTTCAGGTGTTGAGTGGCCCCTTCCCTTCCCTTGTATTGCCCTTGTTCCTTTTCCATGTACAAACTTCCGCGCTCTCTGTAGCCAGTTCAAACTCATTGATTGGTTTAGCGTTCAAGGCCATTCTGGTCTTGCAACCCTTCTTGAAGACATCACCCACCCCTTTCAAGACTCCCCTCTCACCTGGTGCTCCATCCCTGTTTTCCCCTGCTAGTTTGGGCTTCCTGCTCTGAGGCCAGTTCCTGAAGCCAAGATGGCTCCCAGTCACCAAGACCCAAATGCCATGTTCCTTCTTCTGCACGGACATCCCAGTATGGCGATTACTTCCTTCTCTGACCTCCCCCAGGCCTAGCTTTGTGCATCCTTTAGTACAGTCCTTATCCGGTGCCCAGCTCCTATCCTCAGCAGAGAGAAAGCTGTAGCAGGTGGGGCTGTCCAGTGTGGTCATCTTTTCTCTCCACTGTCCACAAGCTTGGCAGTCAGCAGGACACTTTGCAGTACTGAGTTCCTGAGGGTTCAGTTGGAGTAGATGTTAATGTCTAGGGAAGCTCTGTGCCTGTAGATTAGAAACATTTAGCTCAAAATAGGCCACCAAACCCACAAGGACGTGTACTTTTTAAGAAGGTATTTGAACTATTTCTCTAGTCTGCTCTCTATTACCCAGCAATGGGGGAGAAGAGAAAGCAGCGTGCAGCCAGATGTGAGGGGACGGAGCTGTATGTTTGAACTCGGGAGCCAGGAGTTAGGCCTGGGAGGGAGGGGTCCTTGTTTGCTTGGGTGTGGAGTGTTGAAAGAAGGCCAGGACTTCACAGGAGAGGTCACTGGTGGAACCAATTAACCACCTTTTCCGGGGAAGGACTCTATGCGAGGGCAAGCCTTAGGTGCCACCCTGGTTTCTGATACCAAGAAGAACCCATAGAGCTTTATAGCTGGGAGAGGCCTTTATGAGGCACAGATGCCACGAACACCCCAGAGAGTGGGATATGGTATTCCATGAGATTCTAGAACATTCTAGAAGTCTGTGGTCAAGGTAGGGCCAGCGTCCCTCTGTGTTATTCAGTGGTCTCTGCTTGGTAGGTGGGCTGGTTTCCTTTGGACCCACTTCTTCCATCTCCGTCAGCGTGCAGTATCAAGTCCTTACCATTCTGCCACCCAAGACTCCCAGGGCACACCACTTTCCCCCAACAGAACTTCAATACGTGGCCACTCCTCCTCCCTAGGTTTCCTCCCGCCCCGTCTCTCCTGAGTTTGCAGTGTCCTTTGGGTGGTTTTTCCGCCGCCACCCTTGTCCTTGTTCCACGTCATTCTCCCTGATATCGTCCTATGTGGTGCTGTGGGTTAATGTACTGGACTGCAAGGTCATTTGAATCGCAAGGTCGGTGGTTCAAACTCACCAGCCGCTCCTCTGAAACCCTACATAGGTTCACTATGAGGCAGAACAGACTCCACGGCACATAACAGCTACCACCAATTATCCCTCCAAGTCCAAACTGCTCAACATCAGCAAAACTGGTTCTTCCTGGTCAGGCCCCGCCTCCTCACTCTCAAGCTTCCTTTCTGGGCTCTCTCCAGGACCCCTCTGCCCGCTGTGCCACCCCAGCTGAACTTTAGGGGTCCTAAAGGTACCATAGGAACAGGCCTGAGTGTCTTGTTCCTCTCTATCTTGTGTGTGGAGTAGTCACCTTTACCACCAAGATCACCCCCACCCCTGCAAAAAAAAAAAAAAAGAAAAAGAAGAAACAAAAACGGAAACCTGTTGCCACTGATTAGGTCCAACTAATCCTGACCCCTTACCACAGTGCTGAACTGCTCCATAGAATCTTTTTTTTTTTTCCTACAATCTTTACAGATGCAAACCTCTAGCCTTTTCCTTCCTGACACTGCTGGGTGGATTCAAACAGCCACCCTTTAGGCTAGTGTTGTTGTTGTTAAGTGTCCTCGAGTCCGTTCCAACTCATAGCAACTCCGTATAGGGGGTCCAAGGAGCAGGTGGTGAGATTGAACTGCCAACTTTGTAGTTAGCAGTCTGATACTTGTCCTACAGTGCCACGCCAGCTGTTGTTTTTGTTAAGTGCTGTTGAATCAGTTCTGACTCATAGTGACCCTGTATAGGCTTTCCGAGGAGCAGCTGGTGGGTTTGAACTGCTGACTTTGTGGTCCTCAGTCCAGTGCTGATCCTACAGTGCCACTACCAAGACTCCAGAGCCAGCTAATTGCCACTTTTGTCTCCTACCCTGGTAGGTCCCTTTGTGCTCCAAACACAGCTTTGGTGGCACTATGGGTCAGGTGCTAGACTGTTCACCAGTTGATGAATCCCCAGCCACGCTGTTCAAACCCCCAGCCACGCTGTAGAAGAAAGATGGGCTATGTGTTCCTGTACAAATGTGCAGACTTGGGAACCCTACAGAGGGTCTCTGTGAGTCAGAACCAATTTGGTGGCAGTGTTTTTTTTCTTACAGTGTCTAGAAGGTGGCTGAATTATTGCAGGTGGAGTCCTGGTCCTCACCTTCAGTGTCCCTTAACATCTATTGTGGCACCAGGCACACACTGACATTTAATTAGGATAATTTTAGCAAGTGAATGCAGAACTTACAAATATTTTACAGTGCTGAAGTTTCTCAAAATGTCCTCTGATTAGACAAATGGTGCTGGGAACCTTTGAAGTAGGAATATTTAGCCATGGCTTCCCCCCACCCCCACCCCTCTTTTTCTTTCTTTTTTTTAATGAACACTTTATTGAGTTTTGTTGACATTTTACACAGCAAGTGAGGTTCCCAGTTGAGAATTTCCACACTCACTGTTCAGTGACTTTAGTTACGTGTCTCGCACTGTGCTCTTTAATTGTGCCCTCTTTGTTTCCGCCCATTGCTCTGGCTTCCCTGCTGCTTTATCTTTTCAGCTTTGCTTTGGAGAAATTGGTGACCTTTCTCATACTGATAGTATTAAATAGGGCACTGATCTTACAAGGGACAGAACCTTTATTTTGTATACCGCTCAGATAGGCTCGGTTGTAGGTTTCAAGAGTGTGTCAGGGTAACAGTGTCGGGGAGTCTCCTGTTGTTTGCTCTTCCGGTTTGTCTGTTTTTTAAATAAGGATTTAGGTTCTGCTCAGTATTTTTCTCCCATCCTATCTGGGACCGACTGTTGTGGTCCTGTTCAGAAGGATCTATGTTGGTAGCTGGTCACCATCCAGTTCTTCTGGTCTCAGCATAGATGACATTGTGACTTGTGTAGACATGTTACCTCTCTGCCGTATGGCTGCTTTCTTACTGTTTTACTCCTCGGTGAGTAAGACCCATGGGTGTGTTGGAGATGGTCATTCGTGGCCCTTTGTTTCCTGAACAGGGTAGATCAAGGGAGATACTGTTGTTAAGTGGAGTTGATTCTCACCCATAGTGACCCTATATAAGGTTTCCAAGGAGCAGCTGGTGAGCTTGAACCACTGACCTTGCAGTTCAGACGTCTTTGCAGTCTGACGCATTAGCCCACAGCACCACACTAGGACTCCAAAGGGGGATGAGTATGGCCTTATTGCTTATAAAAGGTCGCTATGAGTTGGTACTGACTCAATGGCACCTAACAACAACAACAACAACAATTCTGCTTGTCCCCTTTTCCTGATGGAGCCACATTACCAGATAACAGAAAAGAATCTGGATTTAGGAGAACTGTCAAAATTAGAAGCAAAGAATATGCATCGCAGTGAAAAAATCCGTGAATACCTTTAGCCAAGCAATTCCATTTCTAAGGCACGCATAGTTACACACCCACACCTCCT